CACACACACACACACACACACACGTCTTTAAAAAACAAAACAACAAAAGCTCTACTTAGCAGAGGCCAGTCCTGAGTTCCTGATCAGCCAGCCTGACTTCTCCAGTACCAAAATGATAAGCCTGGGTCACCAAACCTGGCTTAAAATTAACCCAGATGCCTGCAGGCCTGACCCTTTGGCAAGCACACCCCACCCATTGTATTTAAATACACCCCAACACAGTGCTTTGAATAAGTGGGCTTATCCACATCCTGCCTGCATCCTGTTGACTCCTGCCCTGCTCAGCAGACTCCCCCTCCAGAAACCTCTGTAGACCAGGCCCCAGGACTTAACAGCTCCCGTCTGACCTCTCTGTGACCCCGAGGGAGGCAGCTGGGTGGGGCTGAGATTATTTGGCCCAGAAAGAGAAACGCTGGTTGTGAAACTGGGCATCAGCGGTTCAAAGCTGGCTTCTAGCGAAGGACCCTGGTCCCAACTGCATCTTCACCTCGAATACAAATTACAAGTCGCACCTGCTTCCGAGTGCCACCAAGGCCACTCAAAACAATGATGCAAAAAGGCCCTGCGGTCACGTACTACCATGCCACAGAGGTTGCCACAGCCGCATGTACTGTCTCCCTCTCCTACGGCGTTACGTGTGGGATGACTGTTGTGTACAACAACCACAGTCATGCTTGTGACCTCAGTCGTTCGTGTCACCAGGCACACAGATGATCACAGCCAGGCTGACAGGTCCAAGTATCACCAGGAGCCAGGACCACCCAAGCAGCTGTCAGCATCACTTCTAGAAACTCACAGCATATTAAGATTAAACGTGAGGATAAAGGCTGAGAACACGAGCTTGCCTGGTTATACTTCCCTGTAGCACCCCGAAAAACTGTTAACTTTCCAAGGTCTTGCTGAGGGCATGCTGGGAGAGCTGTCTTCTTCCATGTCAGGGACCACTCCCCCTTCTGAGATTTGTTCATGCTTATCAGTGTTTTGTCTGCATGTATGTCGGTGTACCACACGCAGCTATGCTCTCAGGGGCCAGAAGAGGGCATCAGATCCCCTAAAACTGGAATTTCAGACCATTGTGAGTTGCCATGTGGTGCTGGGAATTGAACCTAAGTTCTTCGGAAGAGCAGCCAATGCTCTTTCGTGCTGAGCCATCTCTCCAGCCTGAAAATATTCTGTTGTAAGGGAGGACCCATCAACTGTGCAGGAGTCTGATGGTGGCAACAGGGCTTTAGGAATGACCTACTGGGACATGACAACCAGACCCCTTTCCTATGTGGAAGAGCAATAGAGATCCGTCTCACAAAGTATGGTTGGTAGGAAGTTAGCAGCTGTTGGCAGGGCTGGAGGTGCGTGTAGAGTCTCCTGTAAGTGGGGACACAGTCTATCCTCCAAAGCTTTTCTTTGCTCAGTGAGATCTGATGGCTAGCAAGAAAGGCTGAGGTCCAGCTCCTTCAGCTTCCCCACAAGTTACCGGTCATCAGCTTTCTGGTATGTGGTTAAGTTATGACAGAGGCCCCTGGAAGCTGCCACACACTGAGCTGTGCCTTTGCCGTAACATCCAGGTGTGATGCGAGCCTTCAGGGACCTTTGGCGTATCCCTGCCTGCCCTCCACCCTCGTCAGCACCCCAGGGCACTGCCACTACCCGCCAGGTGCCATTGGCAGGCTATGAACTGGGTCTCTAGTCACGGGGAATGGAGAGCCTGAGCCATCTTAGGCGCTGGAAGTGGGAGGGAGGGCACAGAAGGGAAAGGAGCATGGGGGTAGAACGAAACTTACAAAAGGTTCTGAAGGCCAGGCCCTGGCCAGCAGCTTCGCACCCACACCGCCTATAAATGCATAACACCAAGCAAGCTACTTCCTATACTGCCTTCCTGAAATGGGACCTTGGGTCCTCAGGGGGATACTGGACCCTGCGCTCTTGCCTCTGTAGGCCTCAGTCATGGTCTGGATGCTTGCCTCTAGCTGGACCAAAAGATGGGCTACTCAAACACTTCCAAACAAGCCCTCCATAAATCTTTCTCCTGCTTCCATCAAGAGCTCCTGTCAAAACCTTGCTAAACACACAGATGTGAGAGGATGGGTCAGAGTTCTGACTGTTTTGTGAGCAGTGATTCCGGGGGGGGGGGGGCACAGAAAATTAAAAAAAAAAAAAAGTTTGCTCAGGGGATGAAGCAACAAGAGTCCCCTCGCCCCAAGTCCCTAGGGTCTGTCTCTGTTCATCTTGGTGTCTTGTGGGCAAGAAGAGCTGTTTCCTGATAAAGAACTTTTGAATTCCTCACATCCGTGTTCCTTTAAGACAAACTGTTAAGGGCTGGAGGGATGGCTCAGGGCTTTAGAATATTTGCTACTCCTTCAGAGGACCAGAGTTCAGTTCTGAACACCCATATCAGGCTGACTCCACTCTAGGGGATCAGACTTCCTGTGGCTTCCACAAGCACCTGTGTGTGTAAGTCACACACATACACATACACAAAGGAAATACATCTTTTTAAAAAAGGAAGCCCTTATTTGGGTCAGCTTTGTAGTCTGAGGCTCCCCACAGTCTACAAATATTGCAAATCCTACTTAACTCAAGGTCGTTATGGGAAACTGGGTTGTCCCGCCCCCTCCTGGACTTGCCAACTGTTTGCAGAAGGCTCTGAGCCTCCTTTTTTTTTTTTTTTTTTTTTTTTTTCCCATTTGGGGAGTCTCCCCTGGATTCCATCTCACCAGAGTTCAGGCAGGGAGCATGCTCTTAGCGGCAGCCTTTTCACCAAGGCTGGTGCTGGTGCTACCTCTCTGCACCAGGCATACCATGGCCTTTCCTGGCTTCCTCCCATACTCCTGGGCCACCCCCCGGTGCCCAGTTCACACCTGTCTCCAACCAACTCAACTTCGAACTCTCAACCTCAGCCCTTGGTGGCCAAGCCCACGGGGCACTGAATGCTGCTGGCTCTGGGGGTTTTGCATGCACCGGCCCCAGACACACTCAACCAAGAGGATAAGAGTGCACATTCCCATGGGGATAGCTGGAGAAAGGCTTTGGGGGGGGGAGTAGAGGGGACAGAGGCTCCCGCCACTCTGGATAGTTATGATTCCTAGGGTTACAGAGCCATGGGGGAAAAGGGGGTTATTCTGCCAGCCAAGTGAATGGCACCGGGAGTTTCCCAGGGCCCCCTGGATTTTCTTTTGGGTGACCCTGTCACCAATTAAAGGCCCATTTCTCACCAGCCTGGGCTTGTTTCCTGGAAAAGCCTGTCCTTTCCAAGGTAGGTGGGGTGGTGCCTTCCAGGGTACGAACCTGCTGGACCCACTCTGCACTAACAACCCCTTCCCCCATCCCAAGTGCCTTCTTCTGACTTCAATTTAGGATTGTTTACAGTCAGTCAAGTTTTTCCAGATTGACAAAGCCTTCCTCATAAGCCTACTGCAGTCTGCCACAAGGGCAGTGAAAGGGCGGCAGGACCTGGGGCAGCTGGAAGATTCAGACAACTGGGACATAGACAGCTAACCAGTGTCGAGCATAAGCAACTGTCACCACGTATCCCTTCCGAAAGGGCCCCCTTTTCTGCCTTCTTGGTGCCCCTCCACAAGGAGCTTTGGAAGCCTTCCACGGAGACACCTTCCTCCTGCTCCTTTCCCCCCAAAGAGAACAACTCCTACTTCCCCTTAATTCAGTGAAGCCAAGGGTTTAAAAACCCTTCTGAACTCTCTTTCCAAAGGCAAGGTTAAGCAGCTGTCCAAACCACCCAAGGAGATTCAGGAGCTCCAGAAAGCTGAACGCCCCCCCCCTCCCCATCAGCTGTGCTAGGGCAGTCCAGCCAGGGAAGAGTTAACGGGCCATCAGCTTTGGCTGATAGCTCAGACTCCAAAGTTCAGTCCCAGCCACCAAAGGAATTGTAAATCTCAGGGCAGTATTTAACAAAACAAAAGCAACCTGGAATTACATGAAGGTTTGGCTTTCCACAAAGCATATTTACTCTAATCCCCAAGGTATGCAGCTCCATATCAGATCAGCTGGCTAGCCTGGTCCTCCCTCTCCCCGCTCCCTAGCAACAGTTTAAATTTCAAACTAATTCCCTGGTTTGTTCTCCGTCTTCGCGGGCCGGCTGCCGGCCTCAAATCCCTCTCCATTGATTGCTCTAGCCTCTGGATGAGTCAGCCTGGTCTGCAGTTGCAAGTTGGGTGACAGCTGGCTCTCCCTCCAATACTCTCCTGCACCACGTCTCCAATACCTGGAGCAAGGGGAGCCGCTGCCACCCACACAGTGGTCGGTGGGGCCACTGTGCCCCCCCCCCCCATCCAGTGGGGGAAGGATCCCCTCTGCTCCAGAGGATCAGGGTTGAAGGTGAGGACAAGGGCTCTTTATCAGCGGCCGGTTACCCCCCACAGTCCTCTTCCAGGATTTTAAACACCTGGGCCTCCCAGTCTTTCGGCCAGGCTGGACCAACAGAGTCAGCTCCCCTCCCTTACGAATCCGAACAGAGACTCCATTCCCGGGCCCCCTCCCGGCCCCCACGTCCCTGCAGAGCGAAGCCTTCCAGGTTGGGACTAGGCAGCCAAGCAAAATAACAAGCGCAAGCTTGCAGGAGGCTTCCAGCTCCACCCAGGGGCGCGCACACCCCGCGCTCAGCAGGGTGCCGGCGGGGAGGGGAGGGTGGGGGGCTCAGCACCTAGAGGGAGGGAGTCACGCGGCGGAACGGGTGGGTGTCCTAAGTCCGGGAGTGGGTGGGGTTAAACAGCCAGCTAGACACCAACCCCGGGAAAGGCGACCAGCTCGGGGCCTGGCAAAAAAGACACTCTGGTGCCCGGGAAATTTACAGACGTTGAAAACGACTTGTTTAACAGCCCCAGGTGACGCACGGGGTGGGTGGCCCGAGACTCGGCTGGCGGGCACTGCTTTCCGCAGCCGCGGCAGGTGGGACACCCCCCACCGTCCCCCGCCCCGCGCCACAGCCCCCTCACCCTGGGCGCCCACTTCCAGGTGTGGTAGTGACACCCCGCCCCCACGCCGTGTACCTTTCTGGCGCCACGCTCTGCGAACTCCCGAGCGAGGTGGCGCCCGATGCCTCTCCCACCGCCGGTGATGAGGACTGACTCCCGCGACAGGTCCCGGAGCTTGGGGGGGAACGCCAGTCCCAAGGCCGCTTTGGTCACCAGATAGATCATTTGCAGAGGGAACACTACCAGCGCGCCCAGCCATTTCCACCCCATCCTCCGCGCGGCAGAGCCGGGCACGGGGGGGGGGGGGAGGGTTAAAGGCGGCGGACAAAACTCCCCGGACTAAGCAAAACAGGAATTAAAAAAAGAAAGAAAACACCCCAAACAATAATAAATAAACTAAATAAGGAAAGAGAGAGGCGTCCCACCTGGCCCACTCTTGAACTGATCTCTTTCCAGATGCAGAGCAATGGTCGAGGAAAAGTGGGGGATTAAAAAAAAAAAAAAGTAAAAGTAAAAGATAAAGTCTGCTCCGGCTTAGGAGGGGGAAAAAAGTCTCAGAAGATTGGGACGGTGAGAGGGGCGGAGGGGAGGACGGGGGCTGGGAAGTTCTAACAAGTTTCTTGCCCCAACAGCCTTTTCGGCTGGGAAATTCACAGGTAATGTTTACAGGCGGACAGAGGAGTTTAGGCAAGGCAGGGGGAGGGAAAGAAAAAAAAAAAAAAGGCACCAACCACAAGCTCGCACACTGCCACAGTCCGCGGTTCCAGAGTGCAAGATTTAAAAAACAAACAAACAAAAAAGCTGTTTCCCAATTGTAGCGCCCCCCTCCAACTTTCTCTAGGAAAAGAAAGAAAGAAAGAAAGGGGGAAAAAACCCCACAAAAACACCACACACACAAAACCTGGGGAGTGACTGCAGCTCCCAATTTCAGTCCGCGAAAGTCTCCCGACTCATTGCTATTCTCGGGCTCAGGAAATTGCTTAAACGCGATCTGATTGCCAGCACCGTGCGGCAGAAGTGGGGGGTCCGGGTGTCAGTTTCTTCCCGTGCACAGCTCGCCCTCGCGCGCGCCCGCCCGCCCGCTCTCTCCGGCTCCCTCCTCCCTCCCTTGCAGCCCGGGCTGGGAGTTGCCGCCGATGTGGCGGCTCCCTCTCCCTCTCTCTCTCCCCTTTAGCATTTATTGCCTTCTCTTTTTTGTTCTTTCCAACTTGGACGGGGCCCGACTGTGGAGCACCCGTGGAGAGGACGCCCTGGTCTGTACCGCCGTATTCGTCCGTTCGCGGGGCAGCTGCGGCGTGGACCGAAAGGGCGCCCCCTCCTTTTTTTTTTTTTTTTTAATACCCCATTAAGTCTGATTGACAGTTAAAGTTGTTGGGAGGCTTCCCTACTATGCCTTTGAGTGGCTGCGGCGACTTCCCCTCCCCCTGCGCCGCGGCGGGGCACGCGCCTAGGCGCGCACCCGCTCTCGGAGCGACCGGCCCTTTCCTGGGACCGGCTTCTCGGTTCTGCAAGCCGGGACTTGCCGCCCTGGTCCCCGAGGGCTCGCCACTGGAAGTCGGACGCGCCGGAACCGACTCCGGCAAACCAGCTCGCTCCCTCTCAGCCCGGGCCAGGTGACCCAACCCCTAGCGCCGGGCGAGCCGAGGGGGAGCTCGCGCAGGCCTTGAGGCAACCGGGTCGCCAAGGGTTCATTTCAGGTCACTTGGTCATCCTCCTGCATCCAGGTAGGACCAGGAAGTCACGCTTCATCATCGCCTGGTCCCCTTTCTCCTTCGGCGTGTACGTCCGACGTGGTACCATCGTGAAGTCTCCCACGTTGCTGAGGTGGAGGGACCTCTGGGGAGCAGGATTTTGCTTTGGGAGAAAGGGGGCCAGGGTAAAGGCACCTCTAACCCCAGGTGCCAATAAACTCCCGTGAGATTAGCTGGGAGCAGATTTATTGCTTATCTGGGCTAGAATTACCTTGACTGACAGCAATTTCCTTAATAACAAAAGCCTGTAAACAACACGTCTTTAAACCCACGCCACTGTTCGGTTCCCGCAGCGCCCCCTCTCTCTGGGCGCCCCTCCTCCAGTGCCCTGTTGGGCACCCACCTTGTAAAACCTCTTGCCCACCCCACTGCAAGAACGTCTCCCTGTTGGGAGGGTGGGACCCAGCTATTTAGAGCTGCCTGTTGCGGGAAGTCTAGGAGGTGAGTCATGAAAAGCAGGCCCGAGTTAAAAGTGCTGATGAGACTTGCCCGCCCCCTCTGCCCATCCCTGGGCGGGAGAGGGAGAGACAGCCAAGGAGTTTGCCCCGTAATCCGGGGCAGTCCTTTCCAGCCCTAGACGTGCTCGGGCTGGGAGTCCTGGGCCTCAGCCCCAAAGACTGATCCAGCAGGCCCGGGGCGTGCTGGGAGCTAACTGTGCTTTTAATGCTCCCCGCCTGGGTGTGAACAGGCCCCTTTGAGAAGTGCTGATTGGGGGAGTGGGTGGGGATCACCTCCTCATTTGCCAACTACTGTGGTTCTGGGGAGAAGCTGGGCCTCAGAACTCCCAGGTTCTGGTGGAGCAGAGCGGATAGAGGGGCCGGGGAGCTTCACTCCTGCAAGGACAGCCTTCATTCTGCGCTGACATTCCGCCCTCCGGCTGACCTCGCTTTGGGGACTTTGTCATCCCATTTCCCAGGTTATCCAGCCAGGAAGTGCAGGAGGGAGGGATTCAATCCAGACCTAATTTCTCTTCCTACCCCACCCCTCTCTGGAAGGAAGGCAGGACGAGAAGGTGGAGGACAAGCTTGGCCAAGGACTGCAAGTCAAGAGACCTCACAGGCTCCACTCCTCCTTTTAAAAGGCCTGTTGGAAAGGCTGGCCATTGCCTTCGTTACCCGCCCCCCCCTCCCCCGCCATGAAGACCATTAGATGAGTGAGCATTTCTCCCCGTCTTCTAGGTCTTTTAAACAACAGGAGAGAAATGGCATCCAGGAAGAGTCAAGCTCCTGGGGCCCAGCTGTTGCCAAGGCCTGTGCCCAAGCCTCCAACTAGGGAGACCCCATGCACTCACTGCACAGCTGCTGCCCTCATCTATTATCCTTGGAGCCGCCTAGTGGCCAACGCGGGGCACTGCATCTCCAAGCTACTGGCATTTCCAACACCGCGGTGGGGCTGAGATACACTCTTTTTGCTTAGGCCTTTCTCTCTCTGTTAGGCTCAATGGAGCCTTTTAAAGCTAAGGAGTTGTAAAGATCACAGCCTCTTCTCTCACTGTTTCGTAGAACAGGTCACTAACACCCAGAGATCCAGCCACTGGAAGAGAGGCGCATGCTTATCCTACAGTTCAGAGCAGCTGAGTTACCAGGGCATGTCCAATAGGGTATGTGTTTGGGACAGATGGGAGGTCATAGGTAGAAAGATACTGAGAACCCCAATGGACCTTCACACGTGTCCTATAGACACCCTAATTTCCCGAATGGACCAGAGGTATCGTGCCCTTTCGAAGCAGGAGGAAGTTAGGCCCAACAGCTCTAAGGAACTCATTGAAGGCCACACAGGGTGCGGCCAGGCCGTTCCAAAAGGGACGGTCAGATCCAGGCGCGGTCCGAGATGGGCAGTGGCTCTGTCTCCACTCGGCCCACTTTCAGAATGTGGAGTTTGTGGTCCCGGTGTCCACGGGAGCCTCAGGCCTCCTCAGCACCAGCTTTCTGGAGAGGATCTGTAACCGTCTCTAGCCATCCCCCAGCAATCCAGTTCCCAGGAAGATAGGGGTAGGGGAGCATTGAGCTAAGGGCTCAGGACTCGGTAGGCTGGCCTGGCTTCAGGAAGCAAGCTGTGGTATGGGATATGTGCCTCCCTTTTTTTCTCCCTTGGTACCCGCCCATTCCGTTTCCTTAATGGAGATAGAGTCTAACTCCAGAGAGAAGTGGGAAATGTTGCACCCAGCCTTGGGTGGAGGGCCCCACACTTTTTTTTTTTTTCATTCCCCTCCTGACAACGTGAAAGGAGCCTTTGTGGGCTTGATGGGAGAGGTGAGCAGCCGCCTGCATAACTAACTTTTCCATGACTCAGCCTTTCTGGGGTTGGGCACAGCTAGGGAGGTGCAAAGAACAGCTCCCCTGTAGGGCTAGCTGGAGCTGCCTTCCAGCTTTCCTGGTTTTCAATTAGAGACACCAGTAAGAGGCTGCTGGCCTTAGGGTTAGAAGTAGGCTGTCTAGGGACTGGGGAGATGCTTTAGTGGATAAGAGCACTTGCTGTGTATGCTAGCTAGTTCTTATGTCATCTTGACATAAGCCGGAGTCATCTGTTGAGGAGGGTACCTTAATTGAGAAGTTGTAAGATCAGGCTGAGGGCAAACCTGTAGGGCATTTTCTTAATTGCTAATTTATGTGGGAGAGTCCAGCTCATTTTGGGTGGTGCCATCCCTCGGCTGGTGGTCTTGGATGCTGTAAAAAAGCAGGCTGGATAATCAATGGAGAGAAAGCAGGTAAATAGCACCCTCTGTGGTCTCTGCATCAGCGCTTGCCTCCAGGCTCCTGCCCTGGCTTCCTTCAGTGATGGTCTGTGATGTGGAAGTGGAAGCAAAAGAAACACTTTCTTCTCTAAGTTGTTTTTGGTTTTATTTCATCACAGCAAAAGAAACCCTAACAATGACACTGTGCATACATGAGGACCTGAGTTTGGGTTCCCAGCACCCATGTAAAAAGATGGATGTGGCCATGTGCTCCTAGAATTCCAGGGCCAGGGTGGAAGTGGGCAGGGCAGACTGGTGGGTGGATCCTTGGGGATTGCCAGCTAGCCAGCCAGCCTAGCTGGAAAAGAACAAGGTCCAGGATCAGTGAGGAACCCCATCTGGAGAGCGAAGCAGAAAGCAACAGGAGAAATTTGAAGTCCTTTTCGGGCCACCTTGTGTGCACTGGTATGTATACTCCCATTCACATGCACGTGGGAGCTTGCACACTCACAGACAGTAGTAGACTGCCTACTGAGCTAGCTTTACGTGGTCTTGGGGCAGTTAGTGGCCTGACCACTGAGCTTCTTCTGTTTTCCACCCAGTACCAAGCAAGGCTGAGACTCTTTCTTTTACAAAGCTCTCTCCTTGCCACCATTGCAACTGGGCCTCCAGAGCAAAGACTTAGTAAGGCAGGCCTTAAGCCTTGCTCAGTACAGGGATGGCTCCATGGGGGACCAGCTGCAGTACCAGCTCAGGACCTTGCGGTGCTCCCTTCCCTCCTAAGGGACCCACATCTGGGCAGCTGAATCCTAGAAGCCTGTACTAGCACCCACTGCTGAGCTACTCTGCCCATTACCCACTTCCAACTCCTTTATTTTTTTGTAGTGTTGGGAACAGAAGCTAGGGCATGGTCAGGGCAAAGGCTCTACCACCGAGCCCCAAGCCCAGCCCAGCTCTCAAGCACTAGAACAGGTTTTCAAACGTTCAGTACATACACAAACACACATAGACACATAGACAGATGGATGAATGGACATACACACCAGATATGTACAAACAGACAGACGGACGGTCGGATGGACAGGCAGATGGGGACACACACAGACACAGACACACCCCAGATACACAGAACTATCTCCAAACCCTGAACAGAAACAAGCCAGAGGAATTGGAGAGTAGGGTCTAGAAAAATATCTGTTCTAGTGGAGAGAGGTCTCCTAAGCTTATGTTGAGCTGGGTGTGGTGGTACTCAAGGGACAGAGGCAGGAGGATCCTGAGTTTGAGTCCTGCTCTGGCTCCATAGTGAGTGCTAGGCTGAAAAGTTTGAGAATGGAGGGTCTTTCCAATTGGTGGATGCCCCTGGCACATGAGCTGTACAAGGCAACCAGCCTGGTGGCTTGCCAGGCCAGAGGAAAGAGGGAGAGGCAGACTTTGGGTGTGTGGAAACCCCTGGGGGGGGGGGTGAGGGTTCCTCGGTACACAGGGAGGCAGTCTGCAAAGGCTCCAGACTATTTCAACCCCCTGTAAAACACCTCCCCTTCTAATACAGAACAGCTGCCAACGTGGCCCTGTTCTTTTTGGCGAGACTGGCTGTTAACGACTAGAGAGAGGCGTGGGCAGCAGGCGGACTGGCTCCTTTGAGCCCTCACGGTACCCTAGAACCCCAGTACCCTGAGTACACGCAAGCACACTTCCCACACCCCAGCCTGTCCACGGGCTGAGACTTTCATTTTGTTACCCACGTGCCAGCCTGGCGAAGGGGAGGGGCTTCTGAGGCTGGAGTTGTGGTAGGAACAGGGAGGTGGGGGAGGGTGGGTGGGGTAGGAGGTCAGCTCACAGGTGCCTGTAACTCCAGTTCTAGGGGATCCTATGCCCTCTTCTGGC